ATCGATCAGTGAAAACTGTTTTGGGAGGCCGTCTGGTCAACGAACTGCAGAGAGAACTATCGAGGTGTAATCCCATCTTAGAGGCGGTAATGGCCATAGAATCATTGCAGGCACCATCTACCAAGTTGAAACACTTCCAATAGCACGCCGAATATTCACAGAGGGTCTCTTCTGGTTTAATCTGCATCGCCCAGAGAGAGTCGGCTTATTTTGGCTGAACTTCGTTGGTGATGAATCTTGCCCTGAAGGATTTTTGGAGCTGAAGTAAGCTTCTTATTGACACCGGCTCCAGTTTATAGTACCATCTAACGGCCAACGGTCCCAAGCTACTTGGAAACATTCGACACATGAGGGCTTCGTTATCAGCATGCAATGTCATCGCTTGTTTGTAATGACGAATATGGTCGATGGGATCCGATTTTCCGTCATACAGGGTGAACGGTGGTGCTTTGAACTTTTTAAGCAGCACAACCCTTGCAATCTATCGTACGAAAGGGTCATGCCTGTCTTCTTCATCTGAATCATCACTTTCTTTCCCTCGCCTGTGCCTTACGTACGGACTCCTTTCGGATGAGCTAGCTCCTGGGATGGTGAGTCAGAGTCGCTGCCATTACCGTGTTTCTGAAGTCGACGTCGTCGATCGTCCTTTTTTCCTGGGGATCGACCCCGATCAAGACATGCGGTCTGTTGGGATTTGGCTACCTTCAAGGCCAATTCGTTACATAAACGCTCGTTACCGGCCACCATATCTTCAAGGCGTTGCTTATTTCGTTTCGGTTGATCCATGATCGTTTGTATAGTCTCCTGCATTGAGGTTGAGGGTGAGGTTTGAGCTACTGAGTTGAAATTCAGGGCCCGTCTTGCGGCGATATTCTCTGGTCCAAGCATGTTTCTTGGAGTAACATCATCTCTTGGTGTAACATTGTCAACAACGAGCGAAGGATCATCTGTTATGCTTGCCATGAACGTACTTGAGTATTCCCACAGATGGCACCAATTGTAGAGAGGTGGTTTGGAAATACTCCTGAATTCAGTCTGACGTCCCTGATCATTTGATCATTACCTGAAAAAGGGATGAACACTCCGGTCGGAAATGCCGGAATTAATTGTACGGGGAGGAAATAATTCTCCTCGTATAATCCTGTTGACCAAGTCCACGCTTCTCCGTACGACGTCGCTTTGTCACCTGAAAACACAAACGTGAGCTAGCCGGCGGGTGTGTGCCGGAAACCTCTCCGATGCCTAAGTCAGAAAACTTGACAAATAGACAAAGCTCTAAGTTCTCAGAAAGATTGTGTTCAATTACCTCCTCCAAGGTGATGCTTGTGAGCTTTTATAAGTTTCATATGGCACAATCCTAATAGGACTTGTACTCCTCCATGCAGAGTCCTCCTTGGATTCAATCTCTTAAGGATAATGCTTATCCTTTTACACCCTCCCCCACTGCTTAAACCAAGTGGGATGGTTTTCTTTACGGCCGAACTTCCTTTCGACCGAAGTAAACTTGGCTATATCGAGTCACAGAAGGCCGAACTATCCTTAGCTCGGTCCTCTCCTCCAACTCTTTACTTCGGCTGCCCTGTTCAACCTTGATGCGCTTAGATCAGACTTCCAAGTAACAAGTTCTGACCGACCTAACCATTGTAAGTCACGACCGGACTAACTCTGAGATCGGCCTAACTGTGAGTTGCCTCCAGACCGGAGTAGTTTTACATCCATGAGCCGAAGTAACATTTACTTCTCCCAGCCGGAGTAACATTGCTCTCTGGGCCGGAGTATCCTTTACGGCCTTCTTACTTAGTCCTTCGCGTTTTGGGCCTCAAAGCCCAACTTGCAGCTCGGCCCAATTTTTCCCAAAAATTACCCTCTCAAATTCCCTTCATCTGGTCTCTTAAATTATTCTTCAAGTGTTGTAAGCAATAACTGTGGTGAACCGATGAGAACACCTTCGGCATCGCTTCTGACAAACCAAGATTACGGTCCGAAATAAAAGTAATTTGACGCTTACCATCCACAACCTTCCCAAGTTCGTGCAAGAACCATGACCAATTGACCGTGGTCTCTAAATCAACAATCGCAAATGCAACATGGAATAGACCTACAACATAACACCACTAAACAGCTGATCATAATATTCCAATGTGAATATTTGCACAAGTAGTTTACAAAAACACTATAAAACAAATAGGGTATGTGAATGTTCACATTGTGTAATGATCAGTCATATATCCACACTATGCCCCTTAATGTGAATATTTACATGGATACACAACCAAAAAATTACTAACCATTGTTTCCATCTTTCGTCGTTGCTGCAAATAGGTGACCCTTGTACTTTCCTTTGAGGAACGTTCCATCCAGGAATAACAAAGGCCGACAAGAATTGTACTCAGAAATACACGTAATGAATGATACAAAGAAACGACAAAACTGTTGATTACTCCCGTCATAGTCAATATTAACATAACTCCCTAGATTGTAACGCATCACAGCATCCGAATACCACCGCAACTGGTCAAACGATAATGAGTGATCTTCATGAATAACAGCATTTGCTTTCTCCACGCTCAACCGTACCACGTAGTAACTCACCTCCAACCCATAATCCCTCTTCAAAATAGTCATCACCTCACACAACCGAGTCAATGGCTTGTCCCTCACAATTTCAGATATAGTACTCGACACCAAATCAGAACTAAATCTCGGATTCTTTGATGTTCGGACATCTGTACCACAACTATGCACATCACTAAATCTCTTGATGTAGAAAAAACTATTTGCTCGTTGTGCTCTACAATGTATAGCCCATAAACAACCTCTTTCTTCGCGCATCGCACACACCGCAGTAACCCTTGTTGTCTCGTCTTTGACATACGTAAACTGAAACCCACATTTGATTACATACTTACATAAAATATCACAAAATTTTTGTGCACCTCCAACAAACCGTTGTCCCACATGCGTAATACCATTTGCCCAAGGGGCTGACAACAACACCTTCTTCTTATGGTGGCAAAATCTCCGGAGTGCATCAATTTCTTTCTCACCCCCCACACGCAGCAACCCAGAGCTACTCGACTGACCATTATCATTTTTCAAATCAACGACAACCTTTACATGGTGTAACCCCATTGATTTGGCAAGAAATAATATGTTTTGAAATTCTTCATCATTGTCTAAACCACACCTATTAATCCCAGGTAGTCGACAGACAATGAAACAGAACAAGCAGACAACTTGCCCTATTTTTCACACAAACACTCCACCAAACGCGAATAACACAATGCCCAAACCACATTTATTATAGTTGCACTGCAACCATATGTGCATACCAACATCATAAAGGTATCCATCTCCTGTAAACACACAACAAAACAAAAGTTAACAACCACGTAACAACCATACAAACAACAATACATACCATAATCCATACTATATAAACATTCACATTATGCAAACTAAATACCTATGTGTACAGTTCCATTGCTAAATCAATAATGAAAACTACTACCACCATCCTTACACAACATAAAACATTTTACAAGTTCAAAATCACACCACTAGAATGAGCGCACATTACACAACATGCATACAACCATCCATAACCTCATATTCATAAGATGTGAACATCCACATTAAGCAAGCATCATAAACTCATCAAAAAAGCACTTGCATTATGAGAGGGAGATTTATGAGCCGAAAGTGGGCCGAGATAAAAGCCGAGCAAGTTGAAGGCCCAAGGGCGTGTTGGGCTGAGATAGCTTAGGACTTGCCCGGAGTTGGGGCCGCTCGGCCCGTGGCCGAACTACTCGCACCGGTGGTGACCATGCAACTTGCGTTACTCGGCCAGAAGGCATACACGCCTTTGGCTCGGCAGGGAAGCTCGTGCCAGAAGCTCGGCAGGAAAGCCTTTGGTTGATCGACGTGACCTTTCCGGAGCTCGACTTTGCCGGAGTGCAGTCGAGTACGATAGAGACAGAGCTCGGCTGTGACGCCCCGATTCTACGCTATTGGTTGCAGACAAGGGAGAGTCACTAATGAGTCCTATGGTCAATAGCCAAGTAAGATCCCAGATCGCCGGAGGAGTCAAAATAGCCTCCCTTCTAAGTCCAGCTTTCTTAGGTAGCGCACTACCCTTTTTGACAGATCTTAAAAGGTATTGACACAAGGTCTCATAAGCAACGATAAGGTTAATACATATAAATATATAGAACATAATAGCCACGAATATCCTTTATTACAAAAGTTCGTTCCATTACATTACATTCCAAAAAGAAAGTTTTAAACTTCATATGAGTCTTACAAAATAACAAAAAGGAATTTCTAGTATTCCTAAGATAGCCAAAAGTCTTCAAAGGTTTCCAGCTCGTTATCTTTCGCTATGATTTCCGCTTCGTCACCTGGCATGATACGCCGTGAGCTTTGAATGCCCAGTAAACACACACACACACCCTACCCATTTTTCCCAGTCCAATACACAGTCACAACTATAGCATCAAGTAATAAAGCATGATACTCAGTTAAATAAATAAAGGTTTTAGTTAGATGTTAGCAAACTAGAAATCCCCCAAAGAGATTTCGTCCTCCCAACCACAAGAATCGGACGCGGATTATTCGGTATGCCCCCTCTTTTGCTGCTTTGTTGCAGACCTAACCTCGGATGCCTACCAACGGTTATATACCGTGTAGCGCCAACCGCAGGGCCTCAAAAGAGACGGTAAAATAGGGCCTTGCCCGAATCCCTCCTCACACCAAACCACCTAGGTTCCGAATACAACCGATCCGTTCAAGGGTTTCGAAAACTACTTGCGCAAGACTTTAACTTTCGAATAGGGAACGCATCCCAACAATCCATATATCACATATTATGATCTTTTCAAGACTCAAGTGTTCGAAAACCCAATACCCTCCCAATTAGGTTTCCTGTTGAATTAAGTGTTTTAAGACAGGGTTAGTTCAACTTATAAAACAGTGATATCCATATAAGCATGTATTCTTAAGATGAGAAAGGTAGATAACATAACCACAATACATATATTATCTGGTCAAGATGTGATTATAAGCTACAAACAATCTTATAAGAAAGGTAAATAACATAACCACAACACATATATTATCAGGTCAAGATGTGATTATAAGCTACAAACATTCTTATAAGAAAGGTAAATAACATAACCACAACACATATATTATCAGGTCAAGATGTGATTATAAGCTACAAACATTCTTATAAGAAAGGTAAATAACATAACCACAACACATATATTATCAGGTCAAGATGTGATTATAAGCTACAAACATTCTTATAAGAAAGGTAAATAACATAACCACAACACATATATTATCAGGTCAAGATGTGATTATAAGCTACAAACATTCTTATAAGAAAGGTAAATAACATAACCACAACACATATATTATCAGGTCAAGATATGATTATAAGCTAATAAACATTTTTATGAATACAAGGGCATTACATTTTTCTGGAATTTTTGAAAGTTGACTGCAAAAATAGGTTTTAAGGTAGAATGCCCGAAACAAGAAAATTTATAAAAAGGGGGTTCCATCATGGGAAAGTTTCATTTCTTTTGTGAGGAAAATATGCTAACTATCACATGTTTAACTCAGAAAATTTGTTTGAAAGAGTGCCCTTGAAAAGTTGAGAGATTTGTACAAAAAGAAGATGGTTTATGCCAAAATGGGGAAAATACAAGAGGGGAGAAATCAATACACAACCCTTAGCATTTTTTTTTTTTTGACATAAGAACTTGATAACAGCAGATCCAGGACATTATTCAGAAACTTTAGAACATGCATTAGAAAAGGAAATGTAGAGAAGGTTGTGTTGGTGGTTTACCTTCTAGCTTTGCACAAGAAACTCTCTTCTTCTTCCCTCTTCTCCTCTAGACTTCTCTTCCTTGCTCTCCTCCCTCTCAAAATGTGTGTGTGAGTGAGTGTGTTGTGTGTATGTTTGCAAGCTAGGGAGGGTGTGGTATATATAGGCAATTTTTGATGTAAAATGTCCTAAAAGCCCATTAGTTGGAAATGGACGGAAAGGTTAGGATTTGTTTGGATTCTAAGGAAATGGAAGGGATTTGGGAGGCTTGGTCAATGATTTAGGCAACACTAGTTAGAAAGGAACTAGTTTTGGAATTAACAACCTAGGTCTAGGGTACCAGGTTTGGGTTTCCTAGAATATCATGATGATATATATTGAAAATTGGCTCCTCTCTTCTCCCTAGGATGATGGGGTTATTTTTTATTAATTTTAGGTACAAGGGCACATCCCTCAAGGTGTATATATACCTATATATATTGCAAGATTGATGGTATACCAAGGTACAAGGTTCAAGTACTAGTTTGGGATAAATTTAGAATTTAAATAAAGAAGTGAAGGCTTGGAATTAAACTCATGTATTGGAACCTTACTTATGTAGAATTAAATTAAATTAGGTTAGGGAACCTAATCCGGCTAGTGTAATTCCTGTTCCGATAAAAATTAAAAATGTTATCTGACAAGATTCGAAATAATTTAAGAAACTAAGGGGCTTTAAGGAAATAATTCAAATACATTTTTCCGGGGCTTCACATTAAATGTAATGAAATGAGGAGGATTAGAACCTTAATGATGTATTTAATTATGATCTAGTTAGGTCTAGGACTAATGTAGATATCTTCTAGTTAGAAGTACACACATATATATAGCAAATCTTTATAGGTACCAAAGTCATTATTGCTCCAAGATTTCAAGAGATTTTAAAGTACAATGATTATAGTCTAGGGGGGGTATGATGGCTAGCCATGTGATGGTGAATTGATGGACATGTTATATATATATATATATATATTTTGTACAAATCTTGGAAATTGTAAAATATATTATTAAAAAAAGGTTTTTGGGTAAAAGTGTATATATATAAATATATAATAGTACTTGTTTGGGGTCAATTTGTGATTTAAAAATGTGCGGGCTTGGGTTCAATTAAAGTATCTATTTCAAGTGTAAAATAATTCAGTTTGTATTATCTTGCCTTTGAATTTAAAGGTAAATAACCGAACGATGACTGTAAAAATTGAAAGTTAAGGTTTAGAGTGATTGATCTAAAATTTGAGAGTTAAGTAGTTAATATTAGAGTGTTAGAAGTGATTTCTAAGCTTCCAGGATCAATTAGGGTTTGTACGGATTCACCCGTGATGCGTTTTCAGTTCTAGGGCTTAATTTGCGATTAATCGACGAACTAAGGGCTTTATTATAATAATTCAAAATTTAGGGACCTAATAAGGTTTACAAAAAAGTCAGGGGCCTCACATCGGCTATTGCTACACTTGGGCGTGAAGTACAGGCTGGATGTCGGCGGCCGTGATGCTGTACTCCGATTGCCGAGCTCCCAGCAGAGTGGGTTGGCAGTTGGGTTAGGTAATGTACAACAAGATTTGTGCTAACGGATGGGATAGCAGCACCATGTGTCGAAAGACGAATGAGAGTAGATTTGGGGCGCAGAAGGTATATAAGCGGGTCTGCGCCCTCCATGCCTAGACAGATGAACATTTGGTGAGATATACACTTGCACTCAACTCTCTCCTCTCTATCTATCCCTGTGTGTTGTCTAACTTGATCGTCGGAGGGGTTTTTTGGCCACACACCAGCGGGTAGCTCACCGCCGTTGTGCTCGCAGGTTGATCGGACAAGGAGGAGCTTGGAAGAAAGCAGTGCGAGCTTGCCTGAATATTTGCTCCCCGCACAATTGGCGCCGTCTGTGGGAAATTTGCAGACAAAACCTTGTCTTCTAGGCTCGTCTGATCACCGTCCATGGCGATCAACGAAGAGATTCCGCTGTCCGCCGTCGATGGAATTACCCCGAAGTCAGGCAGATGGAGAGAAGGGCATCCCATCATCGTTCCTCCGATGGTGGACCTAGAGACTTCTCCAGGAGGACATTCAAGAGATGCGCGGGATAAGCGCGGAAGAAGTTATGGTCATTCACGGAGTCCAGACGGTCATTGACGACGGAGAGAATCATATGCCAGACGTCTGCAACACAAGTTAAAAGACCAGGACGCCGTCATCCGGCAAATGGCGGCGGAGATGGAGGTGCTGAAGCGGCATGTTAAATGGAAGGGTGTAGCTGGAGTGGGAGACCACAGTGAGCGCGCCCAACCCCACCATTCAGGCAGTCAGAGTCAGCGACACACTGCGTCCTTTTCCATCACCAAAAGTTACAAGGTTGGAGATTCTGACCTGCACGAGGAGAAGTCCGACGCGTAAGATAGCACCTATCGACCCTCACGTCCGGCGACGACGTCGAGGTATTCTTATTCCGCTCGTTCAGAGGATTTGCGGGCAGTCTTGAAGGAA